CAATGTCAGAGATGCAAAGATCAGAGAAGTAGGAATTTGGCTTCATAAAACACACACACACACACACACACACAAAGAAATGTTCCGTGCATAACAAATTCGCGTAAATAATATGTAATGACTTGATAGATCAACAAAAAGCATTCTAAACGCGCCAGAAAAGTCTATTGTACAGATGAAAGCGATTTTCGATGAAAATGTCATCGCTGAAAGCAACATGTGAAAAGAAAGCAGGCATTTAATTTTTTCCTGTTGATTCTAAGTGTTGCTGTGATCGCGCATGCATCTCATCGAAATGGCTACTTTATATTTATTGTAAAATATCTGTGGAAATGTGATAATATCGTTTAGATAGCCAGCAATGGACGTCATGACTAGTAAAAATAAACATGTCAAGTATGTGATTTGACAAGAAATTTTTTCTTTTTCTTTCGTAAAAAATTTCATCTTCTTAAATGAATATAATTAATACTTTATGTATACATTTATATGTACACAATGATAACGCAACATTTAAAAGATGCAACATTTAGAAGATATCTAAAAGATGTATCTTTTAAATTTTTGCGTTACGAAATTTATTTTATTGAACTCTACCAGCAAACTTCATCGTCCTATAAGATTATTAACAATTTCACACGTACCGATATTAATCCACATCCATTGTTGCATCGCGTTAGTAAGTTAGTTACAAACTTTGTGGTTACAAACTCCTATCCGTTACAAGCGCGATGTGCACACTCCTACTAATTTTAATGAGATTATTCAAATATCAGTGACGTTTCTGTATTCGAATATGTACACGCGCGCACGGGTGTCCATATTTCACATCCGGAATTCGCTTTAGAGCGCCAATGAAAACACACATACACGCGTACAAACATCGACTACATCCTTTAGTCCCGTTCGCACACGCGTATCTAATCTTTCCATTTCTTTCTAATTTTCAAGATGTGCGTTATGTTCAATCGTATTGTCGCAAGTGTTCAACATGTCAGTGTCATGACAAGTGCACAAACATGTCAGTGATCTTAGCAGTGAGAAAGAAGCAATAAGAGCACAAGTACCTCGTCGGACTCGTAGGTTTGCAATAGATGAGTCGAGGCCATTAACCCTCTAATTGAGCCGAGCATTCTCCTCTTAATCAGACTACTTTTCCCACCGTGATCTCTTGATGCTTCGGTATCACTGGTCCCCGCCGTCGTCGTCATTGCCGGCGCTGCCGCCATCGTCGTCGCCGTCGTCATTGATATCATCTCGTCGTTCTCTGTCACATGTGAGCATAATTTATCCATGCTCAAAGATCCTGGTAACTGTAATTTTGTCCTGTCGTTTTCCAAAATGTTGTCCGAACTGGCCGTCTTTCTTCGCAAGTTGCCACGCAATCTTCTCGTACCATTCGCTGACATCTTCCCCGAATCGGGTGATGCTGACATTGGTCTCTCCGTGTCATCGGAAACGTTCGCTTCCTCGGACACTGACGATAGACCAAACTCCTCCACTCTGGTGATCGAGCCAGACTCCTGGGTGTGAGCTCGCGTTAGATCGTAGAAGCCACGCTGCTTGCTCTTAGATGTTCCCACGGGAGTGGCACAATTGCTTCGCACCTTGATGCGAGAATTTTCAATAAAAAAATCGATCGAAATAAATGAAAGAATCTGAAATCTTGGAAACTTGTATCGCGTTGTTCAATTCGTATTTAGGATGTTTGAAAAAATATATGTAAAAAAAATTAGAGAACAAGAGCAAAAAAGTCCATATATAAGATCTAGTTTAAACGTTAAAGTGTTTTGAAGCAATGAATTATATAAAATATAAATTTTACGTTTCTGGACCGAAAATTTCACACCCTTAATTTTTCATATTGAGTAACACTATAAACGTATTTATAGTACATTAGTTAAAATTATCTCAGATTTAAAGAACTTGAATAAATACATGGTTTCTAAATTTTATCTACTATTTTTGTTTACCCACTGTAAAGATCATACATTTAATGTTATCTTTTGAGAATCAGATAATATTACTTGTATGTTATCAATCTAGTTTCCTTACATTCGACCGATTTTAACTAATGTTTACTATAATCATGCCAAGATTTCTTATCTTTTCTTTCCTCTTTTTTTCGGCACTACCTCGGGACTGAGCGCGCCAACCGCTTGCAACTTGGCGTGCCTGTTGACCACTTGGCCGATCCTAGTCTTCTCCTCTCGCAGCCAGCTACGCATCCTACCCCAAGCCTTGCCCAATCGTCGCTTCTGCAACTTCAGTCGCTTGCTGCGGTTCGAATCACCACTCTCCGACAACGCTGCCTCGTTCGGGCACTCCGGATCCGAATACGAGCCCGACATCGAGGCTATGCCGGCGTCGTAACCATCGCTATCCGACGCGCCGTAGCTTCTTCTGCCAGATTTGAGCGATCTGGTGGAACGTTTCATCTGATCGTGTTGTTGATTCTTATTCTTCTCAGGCGAAACAATTATGTTCGTGCTCTTGCAGTTTTCCTGCGCGGGATTGCAGATTGGCACATCTTTCTCTTGCAAATCGTTCGAAGACACGTCCTTGCGTGTTGATTTCGGCACGTCGTAAAGATCCTGGCGAATCGTTGATAATGAGAGCTCACTCGAATTTATTTCCTTATCATGTCCGGTTCGTTCTAAGGGAGCTTGATTATTTTCTAGGATGGCGCTTTTAGGAAGATCATACAGCTGATTTCCTGAGGAATCAGTTTGATCGCTCGTGTCAACCTCCAGAATAACGATCTCGTCGTCGTTCTCGTGAAAATTCTCATCGGCGCGCAAAAAACTGAAACTGATGGTCGGCACTCCATCGGCGTCCGTCTTCACCGTCGTGGTGGCATTCAGTTCCATAGTACTGCGTCTCTTCCCACCTCGAGTCCTCGAGTCGTTTACTTCGAAACTGCAAGGCCTGACGTCCGTGCGAACTTTACTCGATCTACTCACGACGACCTCCGCGTTGTTTCGCGACGACGCCTTGTCGACGGTGTCGACGTTATCGGAAGACAGCGAGAGTCTTTCAGCGAGAGGTCCCATCGTCGTGTCTTTTTCCGAAACATTGTTTTTCGATGACAAGATCTTCGTATCTCCTTCCAAGGGCCTGGTTGTTCTTTGTTCAACGAGTCTTATTCCCATCTCATTATCGCAGGATCTTTTACGGTCTCCCGCTTCGTCATTTTTCATAATGTCGCGTTTCGTCTCATCGCGAAACTCACGACAATGTACGATTATCGGCGTCGGGACGTCGTACCACGTTGCCGTCGCGATACTCGTGACGCCACTGTTCAAGGTCGAACTCTTCGCGGGAGTTCTCAAAGCTGTCAAAACGTGTCGCACCTCATTCATCTCCGCTATATATAAATATGTATATATACACAGGATGTCCCAAAAGTCTGGATACAGTCGAATATTTCAAAAATAAATGCAATTTCGAAAAAAAGGTTTAGACAACAGTTATAAGGCTTAAAAAGACGCTTTGGATGGTAATATCTATTTGACCTTGGGTGGCATTGGCTCCAGGATTTTTTTTAATGTATATATATATATATATTTTTTTTTCTTCTTTTAATTTTTCCTTCCGTTATAACGTTTAGCCCTTCCGGAATCGGTTTTTGAGATCTGTCGTTGCGAAACCGTTTTAAACCGATATTAAATGATGATCGAATCACTCATCAAGTTGAAAAATAATGACCAAGTGAAACATGTTTCAAAAATGTTGCTCTACTTGTCGTGTTATCGGATACGAATAACTACTCATTAGTCGTTGCAACATCGAAGCTTATGTCCAATTCACTTCCTCGTTTCTTCGAGTGAAGGAAAAGATCTTTTGAATGTCGACATTAATTTCCATTAATTTGTCGAAGGAAGTGATGATCAATTTATTTTGTATCTGTATCAATGGTGAGAGTAATCAATACCTCGTTGCATCTCGTTGATGAGGATCTGAATTTTTCTTCATACGAAAATAATCCATGTAATATAGTCCGGTTGTGATTCCAGATGGCACTTTTATGGCATCCTATTATGCATTATTTTGTAAACGTCTTCCTTTATGTCACGCGCAAACTTTATCACACAAATTCTTTCAAGGTAAAATACTCCATGTTCTATTTGTCAAGCCGAGCGAGTTTGTTTTCGTTTATCGCGAGGCGATATTTAATTTCACACTCGATTGCGACTTCCCTGTATCTTGTAAATTTTTCTTATCGTAGAAATAATCGGTGAAATCTAAATTTCTATATTTCAAATTTTATTTATACATATAAAGAATAGCCAAACCTTGAAATTTTCACATCCTGTATCTTTTAAACCGTGTTCCAAATATACTCGTTACAATTTTATATCTTTTAACTTCTATTACACGTAATCGCTCATCGCAAACATATTTCTTACGTCTCATAAATTTGACTAACAGCGAGAATACTGGCAAAGCCTCAAATTTATCTGATAATTTTTATAATCGAGAAAAAAAATATCATCAGCTATAATTTTTGTTCGTAATCACGTTGTTAGTTATCGACGAAGAGCTTTGTGAAACGACGACCGCAACAATAACGTTTTCCGATACCACATCGCCACCGCCGCACCTTGGAATCGACAATTTCCCACGGATCGAATATCGATACGATGACAAGAAAAAAATGCGTAGATCGATATAGAATAAATTTGCTGAATAGATAGATATATGTCAGATTTCGCGTTGTTGTCTCCTCGTCTTTATCATACTTGTTATCAACGTATGTGGCTCGTACATTTGCTCGCCCATCCGAGAATTATAAGCACGCGCGTAAGTATACACGTACGCTCGCAAACGTACGTATAATGCAAACATATAACGAATGTATTTTATTCGAGCACGTCGAACATAAAACCATCGGAGAAGC